CTTATCACGTGGGAAGTTATAGCAGCCAAATACTCTATGGGCATGCTTTTTTTTTAATGTGGAGGGGAAAAACGGTGGACCGGAGAAAAATCCACGCGATCACTGGGAGAGAGACATGCAAACTCAAAATATACAGCAGTGATTGAGCCACGGCATCCCTGTATACCACGCGAGGTAGTTAACATCTCACCACAGTGGCGCCCCCAAAGTGTCCTGTACACATTCCCAGCAACCCTATAAAGGTAGTCAATGGTCCACAAGCCACCAGCAGTATTCGACAGGCATCAGGTAGGTATCAGTTCAGCTACCACATTGCAATGTCACCTCCGGCGGGCAAACAAGCCTCCAAAATAGCCAGGTTTAGTTGAACAGTGATGCCAAGCACACACACACACATCTAAAGCCCTGTTGCATTAACTGACGGTTACTCACAACGACGCTAATTTCAGAGGACCACCTAACACACCCGTACAACATATATTTCACTTTTCGGTAATCAAGATGTTCATTCTTGCTTTGTATGCATTTATCGATTGGCGCGTGAAGGATATATGGTCCAAGCGGTTAGGTAAATATTGAACGGGACAGATTTTAAAAAAAGACTTTTGCTTTGCATTTTTTTTGTCAAGTGCGCCGTTTTTACTTGTCAACGTGACAAAGCCTCGCGAGTAATTTATTGTTCATCAAATACGAGCGGGCTTGGTGAATTGAGAGGGTGAGGGGGGTTTGGAGGACAGGGTGGGGAGTATGGGGGTGGAAGGGGAGCTAGAGGGGACTAGAAATAAATAATTTTATTCCCACTAATTACATTGCACTGACAATTACTCACGGTGACAGTTCCACCACATCTGCCAAATTTCACGTGGCGGAGGGAGGGCTCTAGCCCGCAACTTAGCGAACCAAATACACGTCCACAGCCCCATCTGCTGACTCCACTGCACTGGCAACTGCTGGGCAAACAATTAAAATCCAACACTCTGCAAAAAAAAACCCATGAGAACACCCCGAACTCCACAAAAAGAATGCGTGCAGGTAGGAAACTATCGGATTGAATAACGGACAAAGTTGCGCTGCTCACAAATAGCAGGGGGGGAGGCACACCCCCAAACACGCCTTGCATGCGTGTCACGTGACCACCGCATTCCATACACAATGCTGTCGGCCTTGTTTAGACCACCAACTCAAAGGAGCTGAACGTGTAGCCATCGACTAGGACAACCGCATTTTTAAAGCGCTTATTTGCATTGGTTGCTTATGCAAAAAAAAATATGCCCACATGTGCAGGTCTTTTGAGATGGTGGTCTAGACAAGGCTGCTAGAGTGCTGTGCATTCCGTCTCTCAATTGTAATGACCTCCAGAGACTGGGAGGGTCACAGGAACACATTACTGTACATGCAACACATACGAATCGAACAAATCGATTCTTATGCACATATGCGTGCATTGGCAACTTCAGAATCAATGTTAATTGATTAATCGATGCCCATCCTCATACCTCCCCCCACCCCCATATACGAACGGGCCAACTCCAACCCCTCCTTAGACCTCTCCCGGCCGTTCTCCTGTCACCAGAAACTACACCACCGCTTTCAATATCTCAACCACCGTCATCTTAAAGACAATTTTATAATTGTCGTGAAACGCTTCGGAATTAGGCGCTGCAATAATGGCACACGAGATGCAGGAAACGTCGAAGGGCGCCGCTCTCTTTTCGTCCATTAAACACCGCAGCGCAACAGCGACTCTCACACGGCTTTGCCACGAGAGATGCAGAGCGTCTCAATTCTTACTCGTTGGTTCTTTCGGTAAAGTCACGTAGGTAGAAAAATAAAATAAAACAAAAAATAATATATCACGACATTTCGATCGCAACACAAGCGGTCGTCCTCAGGCGGAAAAAATATAATCCAGCAGTTCCACTGCTGATATTATTTTTTCTTTTATTTTATTTTTCAACCTACGTGACTTTACCAAAAGAACCAAAGAGTATGGATTCCTGCAGTCACGAAAGCTTCGAATCAAGATCGTTTGAATTCTATTGGCCAGCCAGACACGTGCTGTGGGGGACTGACGAGCCGATTGGCTGGCCGCTGAGCGTACGCCCGTCTGATTGGCTGGGAGCGCGAAATGCGTTTCAACCAGATTTGGTCGAGATAATTTAAAAGGGCGAGAGAGCCCGCACAATTCAAAGACTAAAGCGTGGCGAGTTGAAGACTCTCCCCCCCCACCCCACTCTTTTGGGATTCATGGGGTCGTTCAATTGGTTGAAGAATAGGTCAGGCCCAGTGACGGAAGGCCTTAGAAGGACTCGGGGTGGGGGGTGGGGGGTGGGGGGCGCGTGGGGGCATCATCGTGTATGCTCACTTCGAACGCGCGTGTTGTGTGTGCATAAACCATCACGTCCCACGATCGTAAAACACCACCACAACTCCCCCGGTCATCCTCGCAGCAGCAGCAACAGCAGCGGCTTTTGGCTGGCCATCGAACAAAGACGGTCACCGCATCGTGCGCTTTTAGGCATGCATCTGTGCAGCCGTCTGGAACGCTCTTCCTTCCGATATTAGAAAGCGAATGGAGCAATGCACTTTTACATTAATATTGAAAACTAATTTCTTTAGAACTGCCGTTTGTGTTTTGTGTTGTCTTTCCCCCGCACCTTCGATTGGCACGGTTGGCTAAGTAGGGTGCAAAAGAAGTTCAACATACATACATGTGGAATGTATGCATGCCGAATACACATTTAAAGTTAATAAACCGCTTGCAAGTGTGATGAAAAAAATAACTCTTATCCACTCGCTTCTGAAAGTGTTGAGGATTGGAGACAAATCTAGCATCATCCAGCAGTGGATTGAGAATGGCTGTAACTAATCCAAGTGGATTGTCACACATGCGGATTTAGCTGGGCTCACCAACACCGTTCAGCTTGGTCTGTGGCCAGAATGATGGCTTTGTGCGGCTCTGCTTAGCAGACTTTGCTCTTGCGAGGGCTTGCCAGAGCGTATAAGCTGTTTTAGATGGCGGGGGATGAAAATGGGCATCAAGGAACGATATAAAAAAAGCTTGAATATCATCCGCGCAAAGTATTAGGTTTGTGCAGACATCGGTGGATGTATAACAGTGCGTGGGGCCATGGTGCAATGCAGACATCGTTAATAATTTTTAGCACCGGGCGTGGAAGGGCTGCGGCCAGGGAATTGGGGGGAAAAGTGACTGCCGAGGTTCCTGGTTCAAATCCCGCAGCGGCCTTTTTTTTAAAGATTTAAAATGCACTTAAGGCTGCAGCATAAATGCCGTGGGCTCATGCAACCAAAACGAGGTGCCCGTGCACGAGAAAACAAGGTGGCTCAGAGCGGTCCACTCTAGCCAACACTTCCCTCCATACGCTGCGAGTTGTAAGGCAGCGGTGGAGTGATGTTAACTCCCTCGCCTGGTCTGCAGGAGGCCGTGGGTTCAATCCCAACCCCGACGCTTTTACATTTGGAGTTTGCATGGCTCTCTCCCCGTGGTCGCGTGTATTTTTCTCCGGGTCCTCCGGGTTTCCCCTCCACATTTAGAAACATGCGTTTAGAGTAATTGGCTGCTATAAATGTCCACATAAGCCACTTCGTTGAGCTATCAATTGTGGCCAGGTTGCTTCTGAAAAAAAGCTGTATAGCTCAGTGGGCCTTACCTGGTAAAATAAAATGTTAATCGTTTCGCAGTTTATTCGTGTAATGTTTGTATTTCTCTGTAAGATTATCTGAACTTACCACTGGCATAGCAATTAGCAACGAACTGGACTTGCAAGCCAGAGGTCACCAGTTTGATTCGATCCCCCCCCCGCCCCCGTGCGGCTATTGAAACGATGACGCAGTTAGGGGAGCCAACGCCTCCGTCCACACAGCGGTATAAATGGTGGGAACACCGCAGCGAGTCGATCGCAAGTTCCAAAGTGGTGTGGTAAATTGTGGGTACTTACACCGCTTACAGCAAGTCTGCCAGCGTGGAAAGAGTAGGCCAACTACCCTGCAAGAAGAAGGCGATCTGACAAATACGCTGCAACAAGGCAGCATACATCATGCTGCTCGCAGCAGACATCGCAGCTATCGCGATTTCATTTTATTTCTCCCCACGTGACTTTACCGAAAGAACCAAAGAGTAGCAAGGGGCTCTGACAAATACCCTGCAAGAAGAAAGGGGCTCTGAACAGAGCCCCCTTCTTCTTGCAGGTGGTATGAGCAAGAAATTGCATGACTTTACCTTTTATGATTATTGAAGTTCAATATGTAAAATATTGAGCCAATCTGTTATTTAGGTGATTGTGTTAATGACTCGATTACACAGGACTGTTAAAGAGTACATGTCTTTGATCAAATGACCCGGATTGCACCGACTTTGATCGGATTTCCGAAGACAAGCAGAGTTGAGCCTGGATAGCTCCCGGGTGGGTGACTGCCATACAGCATGGTGAATTATGGTCACAAAATTCCCATGGCCATCAATATCTTAAGGGCAGGCAGAAATCCTCGTCTATAAACATCAGGCAGTTCACCAGCACTGGTTCAAGTAAACCCGACTGCTGATGAGACAGTCAAAACTGGTCAAGAATTTGCTTTATCTGAAGCAATACTGCTAAGATGCACCCCCAGAAGATTGTGTATAATGGTTTGTGTAAAACAATACGTTAAATTATTAATATGATCCCGATGACGGTATAACACAAACTGGCCGAGGCAATTAAATATATAATATCTGGGACACAATTTTCTCCCAGGGGTGTACTTCACTCCGCGACTGGGGCACCAATCAATCCGACATCGGTGCCACACTCCGCGATGTCGAAACGCAGCGAGGACGATGATTGTGCCGAAACCCTGAACGGTCGTACGCACCGTGGCGGTGCGTCGTGTACAGCTCGTCGAGATGAGTCGATTGCCGCATCACGGACATTATGCGAGAGCCGGGGAACCATGATACCCCGGGGTACCGCCAAAAGGTTCATATAGAGAGACAAATATGGTAAGGAGGTAGTATTTACTTATTGTTAACATTATCCACAACGACGCTTAATGGTTAAATTGAATTTGGGGAGGTGCATTTGTACGCTTGGCGAGATAATTCAAATTATTATATGGAACGCTGCCAAATGATGAATGTCAAATGTTGACAGAGTTTAAAGCCTGAAGGCTCTCGTGTAAAATAAAACACTGTTATACAGATTCTACACCAGTCAACGCATGTTCAAATGGGTTTCTTTCAACTTCGTTGTTACACACTCGGAACTCCAAATCTTTTACTTGCTTAACTGCCACAGGCTCCTGTTTCTAGTGTCATGAATACGTCACGCAAATGAATCAAATGTTAAGCACTGGCGATACACTTAACTCACACTGGCACCGATCTCGCAAGAGCCACGAATGTGATTTGGGCGATGTTTGATGAGGTTTCTTATTTTTTTTTTATTTCAAACATCTCAAGTACAGCCCCGGATGAATTACGCATCAGAATAGTCTCAGGATGAATAAAAAAAAAACACGTGAAACACTCCTGACAATTACCCAATAATCATATATTCACACCGTCACCATGCACGGTGCAACGATCTATGTAACTGACACGGCGCGGAGTGGACTTCATCCGGCAGTGGATTGACAAAGGGGCTTTCTGTACATTAGTTTCAGACGTGAAATACAACAAAAAACCCACAAGGATGTACCGCATAACAGAACCCACAATATAATTACTGTAGCGACTAGAATCTATCTAAGTACAGCAAACTATATACACGCAATCTTATACACGTGCTGTTATGCAGGCGTAAAATAAGCATCGGCGACTCAACGCCACACGCCTTACTGGACCGTGGATGGTTTTCGATGCAATCCTATCGTGTTTGGTTCACACTCAAGTGTGCACACAGGAGCCCTAATATTTACATGAGCTTACTGATGGGTAAATATTGGTCAAGGCACATTGGCTCAGGGGGGATGACTGACCTGTGAGAGATTTATGCATTCGCTCGACCCACACACCCCAGCAATGCCCCCCCATCCACCTCCCCGAACCCCGGCACAGTCCCGTGACGGTACATATTCCCCCCCACGATAGGTTAAGAGGAAGCAAACACACATCATAATGATGATGTGTGCAGCTCCGTTGTCAACTTACTGCTGGATGAAGGCCTCCCTCCCTACGTCATATCTGCTTTGTCTTTAGTTTGTTGTCCTTCCCCCCCCCACACACCTCCGATGAGCACGGTCGGCTACTTACGGTGGTGCGAAATACGTCCAACACGCAACACGCATCCCTACATATGTATCGCCGTCTCCATCTTTCTCTGGTCTACGGAAGCGACGTCATCGGTCACGGTGGCTACCCAACCGCACTTCTCCACACTCGTCAGTGTGGCTTGGTGGGGCGGAGGGACCCACCCGGACTGGTTCGTATATTACTCGCAGCGAGGCGACAGAATATACAAGAGATAGAGGCGACAGAAATGACGATAATAGAGATACAGCTGAGACGGCCGTGGTGGAACAAGCTGTAGACGAGACAAGGAATATGTCAAATGAAATATGAAACAAATTAAGTTTTGATGTTTATTGAAATATTTTTTTCTCACTTTTGCTTTGTCCCTATAGTTTTCATAAATCCAGAGCCCGCTGCACTGCACTACTTGGGGCCACCAACTTTTGCCGAATTTGCCCGTGTCTAGCGCCACCGCCGATTATTCCACAATCGAACTCGAGTTGCCCTGTTCATGGGGACATGCATTACTGCTCACCGATTTCCCCGGGGTGCCAAATGCCTGCCAGTAATTGTCAACGCTGTATTTTACTCGCAGCTTTTACACTTCTTTTCTATCCCACCCTGCCCCTCGGCAAAATTTGCGTCACAGAGTAAATTCAGCCGTCGCAAGACGAGCAGCCGCCGTTTACAAGAGGATTTATGTTTTGTTAAAGCCAATAACTGACCCGCGAGGAGCTGTGTGTATATCCTGGTTTGCGTGCTTTTAAAATGTTAACTTAAACAAAAAAACACCCCAAAAACTTACTTCTTAACAGCAACACATCGCTTTTGCCCCGTAAAAGACGCCACAATTTAAAGCACCACCCACAGCAATCCCGCCGATAAGTTTGTTTTCACGCTAATAATTTAAATCAATCCACTACGGGGTTCAATCCACTCATCGGTGGATGTGGTTTGCCAAAAAAATATATATAATTTCCGCAAAAAACGGCATTTCTGACCGTTCCGAACAACCAATGACCGAGATGACAAACGAGCGGATGAACTAACGAACAAACAGAACGAGCGGAGCGACCGTCACGACTTCGGCTTCGGGCCCTGGCGGACGCTGGCCAGCAGAGCGTCCTTGTCAGCGCGGTACCCCGAGCGCTGCCAGAGAGCGCGCAGGCGCTGAAGCTCGGTGCCGATCTCCTTGCCGGACGTGAGGCCCAGCCGGCGGAGGTCGTGGCCGCTCACGGGGAAGGCCGGCGGCCTCCAGCCATCCAGCTCGACGGCGGGCCCCGCCTCGCCCAGGTAGCGCAGCAGCTCGCTCGCGCGTGCCTTCGCCTCCCCGTGCGGACGCGCCTGCGGGCGACAACCATCGGGCACGCGGGCGGGTCGGTGAGCGCCCGTTAAGGGCGCAGGCGGTACGCTGGGACGAGGGTGTCGTGACCGGAAAATCTGCGCTGCCTTGTCCCCCCCCCGTTGCCGGTGTTTACACTCTGCAATCATCACGCACGAAAGTGCTTGCCTGCAAATGAGCCGCGATAGCTCGCCGATCTCGTCAAAGAGCATAAACGGTCACGCAAACTCGGCTATTGGCGAGCCCATCGAACAAAGACGGTCACCGTATCGCGCGCTTTCAGATCCGCTTCTGCGGCCGTCTGGAACGCTCTTCCTTTCGATATTAGGAAGCCGCTGGAGCTGTGCACTGTTACATCTAGATCGAAAAACTAATTTCTTTTAGAAATGCTTTTTGTGTTTAGTTTCTTGCCCTTCCTCCCCACACCTCCGATTAGCACGATATTTATCATTCCATTCAAGCGTCACAGCCGCTTTAATCGAGTGCTGCAGCGTTTCCACTTTTCGCGAGCTCGGTCACTTCTGTCACCGCAAGCACCTCTTTGTATTCCTGGTCGACACGTGCGTTACAGTTGGATAACGCCAAGGTGCAACATACACCCACGCTACGGAAATGTTACGAATGCCAAATATATCCGATGACTACACCGTCATTGTTATTGTAACCACTGTGACGCCACGAGGTTCGGCGCTCACGTCGGCGATGAGGACTATTGATGGAGCCGAGCGACGCGCGTCCAGGCGCTGTGAAGGACATAGCGCCACGCTTCGGGAAAATGTTACGAACGCGAAACGCCTTTGACTGCACCGTTGTCGCGCCTGCAAACGCGGTGGCGGCACGGCTCTCACGTCGGTGACGAAGGCCTTGATGGAGCCGAGCGGGTCGTCTCCGTCCGCGTCGGGACGCAGCTCCCCGCGGTGCTTGACGACGAACGCCGCCAGGTTGCGCTCGTCCTTGGAGAGGCGGAGACGCGCGTCCAGGTGGCCCACGTCGTCGGCGCAGCGCAGGAGCGCCGACAGGAGCGTGATGGGGCGCGGGGCGGAGGCGCGCGAGCGCTCCCACACGCGCTGCAGCTCGCCCACGTTCCCGTCGCATGGCAGGCCTGCGCGCGTGGCGGGTGGGGCGGCGTGCGGGCGAGAGACGGGCGTGATGACTCGGACAAATTTTTCAGGTTGAATCAGTGGGTGATGTTGTGGCTGCTGCTACGTTGGCAGTGGTGCACGAATGCACGAATGCACGACAACACAAATCAACACATTCGTCAATAACATTGCGTGGTATTCGTATAAAAATACATATAGTCGGAGACGTTTCTGGCAATGACCCTTCTTAATAGCATGTGAAGAAGTGCCAAATTCATGTCGTTAAGACTCTCCCAGCACCTGACTCGGCCAAACAAATGAACGCGTCACCTGTGCAAGCATCTAACAATGAGCCACCGATTATTATTGGGCCTCTACGAGAGAGCTCCAGAGAGTCTCTCTCACGAGATATTTGGGGTACTCTTCCCACGCTGCTCGTACATATTCTCACAGAAATTAGTACCCACCCAAACCGCACACAACCCTGCCATCTGTCTGCGGTGCACCCATTCACACAATGTGACAACGTTGACAGAGGCAACGACTAAAATTCAGCTCTCCTTCTTTCGTATGGATTGATAGCAGCAGATTAAAGATGTAATTTTAGATGTTGTTATCCACGCAATTGTCTGTTCAGAGTGGATTTCGTCCATTCCTCCTTTAAAGGAGTGAAGGCAGCACCAGCAACGGAGTGTTTGGGATGCGGTCGATGGTTTGGGATTCGTGGCCGTACACTCGCAAGGGCCGCCCTGAATCTTTTGACGCGCCATTTGTGCATCAGGTGGCCGCATCGGCCACGTGGCTCGGTCCAGACTCTCGCTTCCATCTCTCGCCTTCGTTTGTATTTGTGGCGTGGAGCGAGGCTGCTGTGATCCAGACGGGGTGGCGTGATTTTAGGCGAACAGGCCCCACCGGGTTTAAGTCCCGATGTAAAATTCAGGTGCAGCCCCCTTCAATTGCTCGTTTAAGATGCTGTTCGCACAACGGCCTGCCCACTCGTTCTCGAGAGCCCCTCTAATGGACAGTACATTGGCCATCTCTCCTACCCATCGACACGACCTGCTGATTGACTGTGGTGTACCCATTTATATGGCTGGGTGAACAGCGGCAGTGGGAGGGGATTTAATAAGCTCGCCCATTGCTTCAACTGGAGATTGAATTGAACCGGCGTCTTCCGGATTGCAAGTCGAGTGTGCTTAACCATTACACCGCCGCGGCAGCATCTCGGCTATCATGATAACTATTATATGTACACTGAACTTCTTTCTCACTTTACGGAGCCAACCATGCTAATCAGAGGTGCGGGGGAAGGACAACAAACTATATACAAAAAGCAGTTCTAAACAAATGAGCTTTCAATCTAGATTTCAAAGTGCATAGCTCCTGTGGCTTCCTAATATTGGAAGAGCATTCCAGATGGCCGCAGAAGCGCATCTGAAAGGGCGTGATACGGTGACCGTCTTTGGTCGATGGTTAGGCAAAAACCGCCACTGCTCGGATCACGTGTGTGAGGGTTTATGCTCCTTGCGGAGACCAGCAAGCTATTCTGGTTCATTTGTGGCAAGCGCTTTGTCTGTACTGAGTGCGACCTTACAATGCATTCCAGGAAGCCGACGCTTCCGGTCAAATACCGGATTTATTATATGAACACGCCGTGCCTATGTGTGGTGCCACGCCGAGCTTGTAGATGAGAGCGAAGAGGTGACTCGCGTGGTTTCCCATGAGCGTCTTCTTCAGCTCCACCCAGATGCGCTCCCCCGCGATGCCGGCCAGCCCGGCCGCGTTGCGCTCGATCGCCACCAGCGTCTGCGGCTCGTGCGCGTCCGCGTGCTCGGCCACGGATCCATAAAACCTGGAAGCGCCACGTACACGGACTGAGATCAAGCGTCTGCTCTACACGGGCTGTCGAGGCGAGCGCCGTTAGCGAGGGCCCATTCACGCCGGCACAGGGACGTGAGGGTGGGGGGGGGGGGGGCTTCGCCAGCACCGGGCCCGGCCGACTTTGTCTCCCGAGCGCCGAGCGAGTTGTCGGCACACTGGAGCGGGCGGTCACTTTAAAGCTGGCCGAAGCGAAATCGAGGGGAGGGGGCGCCAAGGACAGGTTCAGCTAACTGCCACTCATGTGGGCTAAGGTTTGGAATCAAAACTCAGGTGGCTAGATTTGTTTCCGCAATGCACTAACCACTGTCCTGCCACTGCAAAGACAAATATCCCCCGTATAGCCTTAACATACCGTTGGGCAAGTGATGTTAGCGAGTAGCACCAATGAAGGCCGGAATGGCACATGAGGGGGTGGGTGGCCAGCACCACGAGACGCTGCCTTTGTCTCCCTACTGTCGATGTTTACACACCCCACCAGGTACTCAACTGAGGCTGAGTCGTCCTAAGGGGAGGCCCCAGAACCGGTTCAGATAATCATCACTGGTGTTGGCCGTGAGCGGGAATCGAACCCGGTTCGCCGGGTTCAGAGCACAGTACGCTAACCGCTACACTACTGCTCCCTGCCACGCACACACAAGCCACCCTCCAAAAACAAAAAAGTCAACAGGTCAAAGTGGCTCCCGACTCAATGAACATCAATGGGGCAGCCGCTCATCTCCACTGGTGGCTTCCAAACAGTTGTAGCAATTCCACAGGCCAGTCTCTCCAATACGCGACCACTGTTGACTTCCCACCAAGCGGGAGTTATTTAACCGCCCTGGAGAAACGATGGGTCGAGCGAATCTCTTGACCGAGGTACGAACTTGCAACCTTCCAAACGTGAGACCAAGCATGCCATGCACACAGCCACCCGGCCAGAGAGCGTTAACGTCTACGCGCTCAGCACTTCATCAAATAGATGTTCAGGTCTTGGGTATTTTATCACCAATTGTCACCCGAAATGCGCGAGAAAAAAAAGGTCTTTTTGGAATGCTCATTCCGCAAGGGCATCACCCTTCCACATCAGGGAATAAAGGTGAAGAATGACACCAGAGTGCTTCTTATGTAGCCACTTTGGAGTATTTGGCTGTTGCTACACTTGTAAATCTGGCTTAAAGCAGGCGTGGCTGCCCGAGCATCAATGCAGCCAGCAGTGATGGCTCAGTGGTCTAACATGATGCGAGTCATCGGGCCACCTAAAGAGCATTGTATAAAAAAGTATTCTCAAAGCTTCAGTGCCAATTTACAATACATTTTAAGTTCCCTTTTTCATTTCCGGTTGTGACTTTAATTTGATCCTTTCTCATTCATCACAATCTTTATTTTCTTTATTGCACCGAAAAACAAATTATATGGTTTTCAAGTCACCGACACACACAAAAAAAACAGGCATCACGTCCGTCTATTTTACGAGACGCAGAATAGGTTGGCGTTGAAGAAATATATATCCTCCACGAGACTGCACCTCCCGCAAAAATCAATGAATGTAAAGACTACTTATACACAAGTGTATAGCGGCTTGATTGCTCTCGCAGACACCCATTGTGTTATTTCTCTGGAATGATTCATAATATTGATTTTCAAAGAAAAGTAAAGCCAGACTTGTTCATCCAAGTTCAGCAGACGGGGGATTTTTTTCCCTCTCTCTACATAAATGATTTATTACAAATTGTTTCACAATATTAGCAAGAGTCTGGTTCTTATAATAAAGCACCATTTCGTGAAATCAATCACGTAAAGTGCTGAGCCATGAATTCTGATGTAGGAGTGGTAAGTGGTTTAAAAGTGAGCCAAAAAAATTGTGGGAAACTTATTCGAGTACCAAGGCTCGGTTCCACGTACGGTATTTGAATGTATGTACAAGTGCCAAATTTTGAAAATGAGTTTAACATAGGCTTCCGTGACCAACATCATTCATAATAAGGTGTTTGGGTTAGAACGTGTAAATGTGTCGTTAACCCACCACCACGACACAACCAATTAGTGAGGTTTTTCACGTCAACAAATCGTGCCAATTAGTTACTACTGTAGCACAATAGCGTGTTGGGAGAGTAAACCCACAATATTCACAATTGTGAATAATGTGGGTTAACGGCACATTAATATTTATGCGATCTCACCAAAAAAAACCTTTATTTTGAAAATTACTTGTAAATTACTTAATTGGGGAACACCGTGTAATCCTCCTGTTGTATTGGAGAAAAAAACCTTCACGCACTGCTCTCTCGATCTGAGCAACGCACACAGGCAGCACAAATCAGCGTCGTCAACCGGCTCCGGACATCAACCCCGTGGTACGTTTGCTGAGAAGTTACGCGAATAGGAATCCAGCAATCGTTACCCCTACCCTCTCCTTCTTTCGCATGGCATGGGAGGGGAGGGGAGAGCAAGTGTGTATCGATGTCATAGTTGAATGTTAAGGTCCTTCAACCAATCCAAGGCGGCAGTAGACGCTGTATGGATTGCAGCGATCCTGCCAGGGTGTGTGTGGATGGTGCACTTGTCGGTGATGCGTTTGATGTTTTGGGTTTTACCACAGTCGCAGTTTGGCGATTCTTTGATTTACCCTTACACTAAAAACACATTACAGGACCCTCCTGGAGGAAGGTGGGGGGGGGGGGGAAGGGGTGGGGGGCATGCAGGACAGGATAGATTCAGATATCACACATCAATTATGTTAGCCAGGGTCAGAACTGGAACTCAGGTTTGCAGGTTCATTGGTGCAGTCTGAGAACTACTGCGCCACTGCTCCGGACAGATGAAAAGAGTACGCACCTGAAATATCGCAGGATGCGGAGATAATCTTCCTGGATCCTTTTCTCTGGGTCTCCTACGAAGCGCACCTTTTTATTTTTCAGGTCCTCCATCCCGTTGAAGTAGTCGTAAAGTGTCCCATCGAGACCTGGCGACGCACGACACAGGGCTTCACCTCACGATGCCTCGTAGCTGTCGGCATCGATCGTAGAGTCATGCCTGCTATGTGTAGTGCATGCTATGATATTGTATGGAACTTAAGAATGCCATTTTTGGAATGTGTTAATTTACAAATGAAATGCAATTGTAAGTCATGCCGTGCATGAATGCCATTTGAGATGCCATATACGAGTTCCTCTCACTAATGTCATGCACAACCTCACTTTGGATTGCTAGCTAGATTAGTCATGTTTATTAACTCTTCCTGTGTTTGTACTTCGCAATCCTCGTGCGTGCTAATGAATCGGCCGTTTTGGCCGGGTCTCCGTTGGAAAAGAGCTTAGTAGCTCGATGAGCCTCACGCGAAATAGACCGACCGCTTCGTCGTATAATTACACATTGTGCATAACGGAGACATGACAATGACACTTTAGGATTCGTGTAGCAAGATGCGATATTATAGGATGCTCTTTTTTTCCCCACTGTAGTTTAAAGCAAAAGTTGGGAGTGTGTCTTATAATCTGGTAGTGGTATGTGTGTAACTATATGTTTACACAATTATTGACACAGGGCACAAGTTTTGGGTTTGTCTTATTTTCCCGAGTGTCTTATAATCAGGGGAATGCGGTACATGTAGGCTTTCAAGTTATTGATTCGGTAGAAATATTCATAAAATAAATGGGTTCATTAAATTACTAACTAAACGTTTTATGCTACCAGGTAGGGTCCACTGAGCTATACAGCTTTTTTTCAGAGGTGATCCAGCCACAAAGGATAGCTCAAAGAAGTGGCTTATCATGTGGACATTTAGAGCGGCCAAATACTCTAAAACGCGTGTTGATTCTATGGACTGAAAAACCGGGGGACCTGGAGAAAAATCCACACGACAGCAGGGACAACATGCAAACTCCAAATATGCAGGCGCCATGGTCGTGATCGAACCCACGACCTCCTCCTGTACACCAGGCGTGATCGAACCCACCAGGCGACGGAGTTAACACTTCGCCACCGTGATCGTCGAGAGGAAGGAGGATTTAACGATCAGTCGGCCAAACATTGGGATTTTCCTTTGCTCTTACAGTAAAAACACAGCCTGTAGTTGTATTACTGGTAGGAAACGTAGTGGACTGGAAGCCCAACCGGGATTAATTTACAGGAGGCAGGGGATTAATTGTGTATGTCTGTGGATGTCTGTCCACGTGGGAGGGGTGGGGCTGGGTGGGGGGTGGGAGGGGTGGGGCTGGGTGGGGTAGGGCTGGGTGGGGATGGGCTGGTCACCCCGTGGTGCCCTTATAAAACTCAACGTTTAACCTACTCACACCGGCTTGTGCCCGCCCTCACAGTCGGGCATATTTGCGGAATACACCACACCGCCGTTGACCCTGGCCATTGACCGAGCAACCCAACGTTCCTACCAGCTCCCTCCGCAGGAATGTGTTTAATTGACCTGTTATGTGTGTATATTATACCATTTGCCACGTATTGTGGCTAAAAGTACTGAAAATTACAATCATCATGGCAGAAAAAAAACGAATATTAACATCCTTATTATCAAAACAAGGAGTCATCATCCCACACCGTTATCACAAAATACATGTATTGCATATATATTTTTTATGATGTGATGTAGTTTGTTCTAAAACTTGTATTTTAGTGTGTATAAAATAATTAAATATTGACTTAAAGCTTTCATGATTGCAGGAATTCATATTCTTGGGTCTTTCGGTAAAGTCACGTAGATAGGTTCAAATAATATTTTTTTGTTATTTTCTTTGAACCTATCTACGTGACTTTACCGAAAGACCCAAGAATATAAAATGCATGGCCAATTAAGAAAAAAACGCCGCAAATAAGCAACATTTATGTTAAGGGGAAGTTTCTTAAATCCCCAAGTTTCAACTCGGCAGCATACGCCGGTCCACAAGTCAGTAGACTGGCAGGTTGAGTGTTGGGGTAAAGTGTGGGGAACTCTCGCCCTCTTTCAAGACGGTGTGGCCAGTGTGGAAGAGCAGGCCAAAAACACCGTCTAGAGTGGATCTCCAAAGCTCCCACTAATGGAACGGTGTGGCATGAACCGCAAATTGCAGGGCTACACATTTGCCTAAAGCTATGTGAAATGGCTCTCACCGACAAATAAGGGCATGGTTAGGCCCAATGCATTAAAATCACAATTTGTATTCACAACATGTCCACATTTCAAATATGCAAAGGCTTTTCATGACGAAGGAAATGCAGATCCAGGAGTTGATTAAATATGCAAATCAGACATCCACGTCTGCATTCTCCGCTCACAAAGTGCAACGTGTCGGTTCATATCAAATGTAACTACTACGACGCGCACAAGTCAACATCTGCCTTTAGTACGGAGGCCTGCCGTGTCTCAGCACAAATTAGGCTCAGCGTATACACGCGGGCTGCGTTTATTCACTTAGAATGATGTATCGACTGCATTGGAGGGCATTATTTGTATTTATGCATATAGGAATTTATGTTTTAATAATGTGCACAAAGAGAGTGTTGACAGCCATTCATTCTACTGCACAAGAAGCAGTGTTAACATAAATGTCCAAAAAAGACATCTCAAAAACTTGACACCCTTTAACATATTTAACAATTACACTTAAATTACTAGGTGTGACGTATATATTACTGTAATGTAGCGTGTATAATTTATAAGTGTGGAAATGTTCCCCTTTGAAGTGTTGTCTGTTAAATAACAAATGCCCCTAGAAAGAAAAATAAATAACCGCCTTAATTTAAAATTGCCCAAGTTGCTGATAAAAAAGCTGTACACAATCCCAGTATAAACGGTTCGTGATGATAATGTTTGGACCGGGCTCAGAGATTAAACTTCATTTAGATAAGGTGGACTGAATCAGTTTTATAAAGAATTCACATTTTCCAGCAAATTGGTAAATCATGCAAAGGGCCATCGGGTTTGGATAAGGCTGTTGCAGAGTAAACAAAGAACATGTTTGGACACAGGTAGTAAGCGTTTAAACAAAAGTTACAGCAATGTCCTCCCTTTTATTACCCCCCTGTGTTGTGGCTCTAACAATCAGATAGACCACAAATGACCAAAATAAATATAGGGCCCCAAGCTATTTGGTCTGAAAAAGGGAGATAGAGACACAGGAATAAATAGAAAAATCTCTCCCCCCACAAAAGCCGGTCCCAGACCATCCATCTATCTTCTTTAGAGCAGACAGTTTTGCACGCCGCTGAACAAAATTCAGGGCAACTCGGAGTCTCTCCCACAGATTCGTGTAGCCTCGGCCAAGCGGACCATGACTGCAAATCCTACCCTCTGTAGACTGGAAGTTTCTTCTTTTTCTTTCCCCAAAGTAAACTACTGCAGTGCGGGCTCGTAAATGGGTGTGTCACGCGAGGACACTTTTTTCTGGGTTTTATTGGCTGCCCAATCGTTTGCAATGTCCCGCACTGCAAGAGATCTGTATCACTGGAGCAAGGTCCCGCAGGACTAAAGGGGCCTGGTCAATGAGGAACAGAGTTGTAACTCCGTAGAGTCCCTACGGGTGTAACAATACGTGCTCCTGTGAGGCTGCACTCGTATTAGTGCGCAGTTTTTTTTTACTACAGCACCATTATGGGTGTATTATTATTACTGCCGCCGATGTATCACCAATCCACGCCTATAACCAAATCACTCAGCATGCACCTGATCTCAAAAGACTGCAGAAGCTAAGCATAAGCAGGACAAAGCCTGGCGAGTACTTGGATCGTTGCCCACCATGCATGAATGCTATGGGGTTATGTTTTGGGCGGCAGACAGCAGTGCGGAAAAAATATTTTATTTTATTCCCATATCTATGCTCCCTTCCATCACATAGGCACTGCTGGTCTCCGAAACTGGCAAAGATGGCTTAGAGCAGGGTTATTGCTTTCCTTCAGTAATATTTCCAGAATGGGCTCACAGTATCAGCCAATGATAAGCCAAATATAAAAAAAAAACATTAAAACCTGAGATTGGCGAGAGGTGGCGGAGTGGTTAGCGCACTGTGCCAACCACTGCCGCACTCACTCGTGTGGTGCGGTATAGCCAAACGACTTCCATCACCAGGATGGCATGGGGAAGGCTTTCATCCAGCAGAAGATTGACATGTGCATCACGAATCAAGATATACAGCAGTCCCGACTGACATCAGGATTAAATCTTGAGCCAGTTGAAAGAATTAAATTCCTGTGGCGGGAACTACTTCCCGCACTGGACTCCCACTCGCGACCTCATGTTGAGTGACACTAACCAGGTGGTGCCAATTTTAGAGACCCTGAAGGGACAAATGAGCCGAGTTGATCTAGTCCAGCATTTTAACCTTCAATTGAGAGCTCAATGCCATCCAAACTTTTCTATATCCCAGCTCTAAAACTGTGGCATCACATGTACATATCTTGGCAATTAAGTGCTTCGTTCTCCAAGCTAATACCACGCGTTCATTATAAAGATGCAATGTGGAATCAGCAAATCTCCAAGCCGTGAGTACACGCCTTAGAAAACCAACTTGCGCGGCACACATTCACCAAAATTTTGCCAATTTATAAGTGGCAATGGGTAAAAGGCGGACGAAAGTTGTGAAACAACCTACATCTGTAACGTGCCTGATAATATAACAAACGTCTCGGAGCAATGAAATAATGGGAGGGAATGGGAGGGGCACAAGAAGGCAATGAGAGAAGGTGCTCATTCAGTGGGTGTGAAGGCATGGACTAAGAGGAAGTTTTTAAAGAGTCGTGAAAGGTAGTAGTGATGTAGTCTGCACTTGCACAGGGCTGCAGACACGAGTCTCGGTATACTCGGCCCACTGTTCGTCCAGCAGTGGATAGGTCAGGCACAACACAGAGTGGGCTTTTTCACCTAGTTTTGTGAGCACAGGCCCAAAGGCCCACAATGTCAAATGGCAACCAACAAAAAACATCACCATCGAAGATGTAAAGGATGAAAGTTAACATGTTTCTTTAATGGAGCAAGGTAATTGTAAGGGCTTGCGGGGGGGGGGGGGGGGGAGAAACACTAGGAGGGAATTCCCAAGCTGAGCAGTGTGAGGAATGAAGCAGAATGAGAAGTATCGTGACCTGCAGCGGTGATGCTCGAACGCAATGTGGATTGAATGATGACACAATCAAGGCAGACAGAGTCCTCAACATGGGTGGAGGAATGAATGAGTGGCAAGTTCACCGGACCAGTAACCACGGCGGCAGCAACGATATAATATTGGTAACGAGGTGGTAGACCGCCAGTGAGCGAGGAGTGACTGGAGTCAAAACGGAGCGTGCGTGGTCACGGCACAAAATCCCCGTCGGGGGAGGGGGGCACCTGCCTAGGAACATGGAGTTGATGGTGAGGTCACGCCGCTCAGAGTCCGTCTGCCAGTCGGTGGTGAACTCCACCTCGGCGTGGCGGCCATCCGTCGTCACGTCCACTCGCAGCGTCGTGATCTCAAAGTTCTGCTCGTGCACCTGCAGACGAGGGGACATGCCGAGGGAAGCGAGTGGGTGCGAGCGCGCAAGAGGACGCACCCGGTAGGTAAGCCGAGGCTTCGGCCCGCCGAACGAGCTTGCTGATGGAACGCACCCGCGGCTGGAGCGGTAGACTAATGCGAGAGCTAATAAAAGGGGACGTTGATTGGTTTTACAGTGAGGGAAAAAAGTATTTGATCCCCTGCTGATTTTGTACGTTTGCCCACTGACAAAGAAATGATCAGTCTATAATTTTAATGGTAGGTTAATTTGAACAGTGAGAGACAGAATAGCAACAAAAAAATCCAGAAAAACGCATGTTAAAAATGTTATAAATTGATTTGCATTTTAATGAGGGAAATAAGTATTTGACCACTCTGCAAAACATGACTTAGTACTTGGTGGCAAAACCCTTGTTGGCAATCACAGAGGTCAGACGTTTCTTGTAGTTGGCCACCAGGTTTGCACACATCTCAGGAGGGATTTTGTCCCACTCCTCTTTGCAGATCTTCTCCAAGTCATTAAGGTTTCGAGGCTGACGTTTGGCAACTCGAACCTTCAGCTCCCTCCACATATTTTCTATGGGATTAAGGTCTGGAGACTGGCTAGGCCACTCCAGGACCTTAATGTGCTTCTTCTTGAGCCACTCCTTTGTTGCCTTGGCCGTGTATTTTGAGTCATTGTCATGCTGGAATACCCATCCACGACCCATTTTCAATGCCCTGGCTGAGGGAAGGAGGTTCTCACTCAAGATTTGACGGTACATGGCCTCGTCCATCGTCCCTTTGATGCGGTGAAGTTGTCCTGTCCCATTATCAGAAAAAACACCCCCAAAGTATAATGTTTCCACCTCCATGTTTGACGATGGGGATGGTGTTCTTGGGGTCATAGGCAGCATTCCTCCTCCAAACACGGCGAGTTGAGTTGATGCCAAAGAGCTCCATTGTGGTCTCATTTGACCACAACACTTTCACCCAGTTGTCCTCTGAATCATTCAGATGTTCATTGGCAAACTTCAGACGGGCATGTATATGTGCTTTCTTGAGCAGGGGGACCATGCGGGCGCTGCAGGATTTCAGTCCTTCACAGCGTAGTGTGTTACCAATTGTTTTCTTGGTGACTATGGTCCCAGCTTCCTTGAGATCATTGACAAGATCCTCCCGTGTAGTTCTGGGCTGATTCCTCACCGTTCTCATGATCATTGCAACTCCACGAGGTGAGATCTTGCATGGAGCCCCAGGCCGAGGGAGATTGACAGTTATTTTGTGTTTCTTCCATTTGCGAATAATCGCACCAACTGCTGTCACCTTCTCACCAAGCTGCTTGGCAATGGTCTTGTAGCCCATTCCAGCCTTGTGTAGGTCTACAATCTTGTCCCTGACATCCTTGGAGAGCTCTTTGGTCTTGGCCATGGTGGAGAGTTTGGAATCTGATTGATTGATTGCTTCTGTGGACAGGTGTCTTTTATACAGGTAACGAGCTGAGATTAGGAGCACACTCTTAAAGGGAGTGCTCCTAATCTCAGCTTGTTACCTGTATAAAAGACACCTGGGAGCCAGAAATCTTTCTGATTGAGATGGGGTCAAATACTTATTTCCCTCATTAAAATGCAAATCAATTTATAAAATTTTTGACATGCGTTTTTCCGGATTTTGTTGTTATTCTGTCTCTCACTGTTCAAATAAACCTACCATTAAAATTATAGACTGAACATTTCTTTGTCAGTGGGAAAACGTACAAAATCAGCAGGGGATCAAATACTTTTTTCCCTCACTGTATATACCGGAGCGAACAGGCGACGTAGCACTACCCCCTCCCCTCCCCAGAGGATTCCGGCCGAATGCCTTTGCAGTGGGCGTCAATTACAGGACGAAATGCATTGTTTTGCAGCAGCAGCTTTGGCCCAAAAGGATGCTCTGCTTGCCTTAGCTTGGAGGCATTCTGCTCTAACAAGCATTCATGGAGCAACAAATGGGTAATTTAACAATCGTGGGCAACCTTCCAGGTTTAGGCCATGACCCTAGCTCATCATGGTCTACTCTTGTCAATAATGCCATGGATGCATTTCACAGCCACATAAATCAGCATATGGCACGCAGTTTGATACCATTCCCCGCGGTGCATTATTGGCGGACCTACGTTGGATATGAGCCGACCAACCCTGGGAAAGACCGTAAGAGGGTCACGAGTGGCATGCCAGCTGCCGAGCAAACCAGGTTTTTGGTCCTTGGGCCAAAGTAAAGCGGTGTAAAATATTATAAATATAGGTATAGCTGGGCGCTGGCGGTGCATGACTGTAAAATTGTGAGGGTTGTGAGAACCATACAAATTCGTGAAGCTTCCTACTGGGCAAGTTTCGCCATCTTCTGGCTCACCGGAGGAATGGCAGTACAGCAAAAGCATCTCCAACTGGTCAGGAATGGGAGCGTTACCTCCCCTGCCCACACATACATGAGCTTTCTCCAGTCGCTCTGGTTTCCTCTTGTTTCCTCCCGCATGCATACAGATTCATCAATGCAGTTGATCAAACATCACAATGTAGGACCACAGAGCTTGGGCAACCGGTTCTGGCTGCCTTCTCGCTCGCCTGCGGTTTCCCTGAATCGGTCTCTCGTTCTCCCCTCTCGGACAGCGAGAGCGGAAAAACTGTGCGATGGACAATTACAAAATCGTTAATGGTTTGCACGACGGGGATTATCGTGGTGGTGGGACGAAGGGCGCACCCTTGCGGTGATGGTCCCATGCTTCTCGCCGAGCGTGTTGATGGTGCGAACGCCAGCCGCTGAGAACATCTCCTTCATCTGTGCCGGGGTGGCGGACGTGGCGAAGTCGATGTCCTGAGGTTGCTTGCCGCTCAACAAGTCCCGCACGGCGCCACCCGCAATCCGCAGCTCGTGCCCGTGCTCCGAAAACAGCGCTGTTGCGAACGCGATGGCGGGAGGAATAATTATAAGAGAAAAACATCATTCTGCAACTTAAGTACAATGCCAGTATTTGTATATGGTGTAAGCTGTCAATTTCTATAGATATTCACAAATCAGACCTTCAGGGCCATCCACAGCAAGGGCCTGGGGCAAATCACACCGTGTGGGCTCCCCTGTCAAATGAGGATCTGATGAAGCTGGAAGAACAATAAGCTGAGGAAGAGGCCGATGAAAAAATACCTCCACCACCACCACGAATGTTCACTGCAAAAGGATTATCAGAGGTTGTTACTCATTGGGAAGTAGCAATAGACATTTTCAGAGAGGATGATCCAAAAATAAAAAGCAGCTCCAGAGCTAACAGGACATTAACCGATGGCATTCACTGTTCTGAGGAGCTGTACCATCAGAAGAAGAAAAATTCTGTCCAGCTGTCTTCAGACGGATTTTTTTTTCTTTCAATGTTCTGCAATCATAGCCAGAAGGTCCAGAGATGAGCCAGGAAGAGAGGCAGCTTCCTCTGGTGAACATTCCTGTGCCTCCAGCTTTCATCATCAAGATGAAAAGGCAGGTCACCCTGTCCCTTCGTCTGCATGACTCCACCACTGTTCACTCCAAGAGGCCTCCCGTCAGTAAACTCTTCAACCATCTCTGATAAGGTTTATATAATTATCTGTATTTATCGTTTGTTGAAATGTACGTCCAATTATAATCACATTTTTGTCCACTTGGTCACGCATTTTTTTTTCCAGAAACGTTGACTCGGAACTCAACCCCTGATTTTAACATTGTCTATGGGAAATTAGAGTTCGCTTTAAGTAATTTCAACTTACGGAACATTTCCCAATAATGCATTCTTTATCTATAGCGGGGGATTCCTGTATTTAGTTAATCATGTATTTTTTATTGTGTCATTGTTGATCATATTTTTCCCTAAAATTATCTCTCTCCATAACCAATTGCTTTTTGTTAAATTTTAGGCAATCATTGTGCCAGTGCAAATTTGTTTGAAAATAATAATTTATCACAGCCTTTTAAAGATTGAATTAAGACTTATTGGGGTAAACTTCCGAAGCCCAATTATCAAGCGTAAATTAAGTCATGCTTTTCTCACTCCAATTCATCAACATTGAAAATGTGATAAGTTATTTAAGTACAAATTGCTTGTAAAGTAAAAATGAACAAATAAAATGTCCCCGCGTGACGTTAAATAATTTAACACGTTGGCTTTCGCGACCAATATAAACAGAAAATCTGTCTGTCTGCCTGATGATGCTAGTTGTAATTACTGGCGAAACGTCAGACTAAGATTGTAAATGTTGTGGATTTGCTCTCCAACAGACCGGTGTACTGTACTTTTAGCAAATTTACATGTTCTGTTTACGTGACAAACCTTAATAATTGGCTGTGTCGGGTGGTGGTGGGTTTAACAACACACTTATATTTAAGCAATCTAACCCAAAAGAAACTAGACTATGGATGTTTAAACAATCTAAGGTGCTCCGAACTGGGGATGGCAGTTCATGCGACTTTGTCCTTGTGAACTATCAGTGTAATGCATTTAGTTATTCAATTAATTACAAGCAATGATCAATGGCAAATCGATCACAACCTGAAAGTAATAACGGGAGTTAATTTGAGCCAAAGACATTCTACGTGGCAGCGATGTGACAAGAAAAATTAAACATATAGCCAAAAATAAAACAAATATATTCTGTACATATGTACCAAGACCGAGCGCCCTAGGATACCCAGTGCAAGCTTGCAGCCCTGTTAATAACACGAGCAACTTACATATGAAATGCACATACAGGCAGTCCCCGGGTTACGGAAATCCGACTTTACGGAAATGCTCCCATAAATCATATTTTTAAAAAAAATGTATACTGTATGCGTAAACGTTTGCATTAGTTACATAAGCGCAAATAGTGCAGCGCGGCGAGGTCACAGATTAATCCAGCGGAGCGAGGCGTAAAGCGGGGCCGCATATTCCCCCAAGGCGGCGGTGTACTGTGTCGCACTCCGAGTCACGCCGTTGCATTGTTACCGTGAGCATACTGTACCCGCCACATCGTGTCGTAACTTTCAGTGCAGTACTACCCTTAATTGCATTGAAATAATGCCTGGAAAGCGACCAAGTGCTTGCAAGAGCGCAGGACCTGCTCACAAGCGTAAAGTGGTTGATTTAGAGCATAAAAGCCACGTTCACCACCAAAACGCCGCCTTCACCGGGCCCCGCTAGGACTAAGGTAAATGGATGTTTTTGTTGCGTAATTCTTTTCCTTTTGCAGCATTACGTCATTGTTTTGTTTGTCTATGCTTCGCGGTATTCATAAACAATTGGACACAGTACAGCATATACTCTTTGGTTCTATTCGGTAAAGTCACGTAGGTAAAAAAAAATAAAACAACAAAAATCACGACGTTTCGGCCACAACACAAGCGGCCTTCATCAGGTGAAGGGATCAGGCTGTCTCGAGGACAGCGCTGGAGTGAGACAGCCTGATCCCTTCACCTGATGAAGGCCGCTTGTGTTGTGGCCGAAACGTCGTGATTTTTGTTGTTTTATTTTTTTTTTACCTACGTGACTTTACCGAATAGAACCAAAGAGTATGGATCCTTGCAGTCACGAAAGCTTTAAAACTAGAAGTACAGTATATGTTGCGTTAGTTTAAGTATGGGTAGTGTTAGGGTTGATATTTGATCAAATGAAAGGATCATAGGAAGTGCATCGCGTATGTACAGAGATGCAATACAGTTAGCGATAAAAACACGACCAACGCGATACGATACTGAGAGAAAACGGTAAGGGAGGCACGACTATTTCCGGCTAAGGGATTTTATCTTGAATTTGGGGGAAAATTGTTCAATTTCCGACATATGGAAAATTAGGGTTACGGATATTTTTCGGGAACCTAACTATTCGGTAACCCGGGGACTGCATGTATACGTTATGAGTGCAGAATTAGAGACAGCATTGCCCCCTACTGAGAAAACGTGGCAGGAACCTGCTGAAAGTCTTGTAATTGAGTGCGGCTTTCCTAGACAACCAAGCGTGATAATGAATTTAATAATAAACAAAGGAGACAATGGGAGGAATCCATCAAGGGAAGGAGTGAATGAAGCAATTAACATGTGTTTCCCCAGTGCCTCTGTTTAGATGCAACACCAGGTACGACTCTTGTGAGGCTAAGTCAATCTAAGGGAAGACTTGGAGACCAGTTCTGATATTCACCATTGATGTTGGTTGTGAGCGGGAATAGAACTCGAGTCGCCGGGTTCGTAGCGCACTATGCTACTGCTCCACCTTTTCGACGCTACAGCTATGGCTTGCGAACAAACAAAGGCAAAGACAAATATCCCCCGTATAGCCTGAGCGGACTGTTGGGGCAAGTGCTGTTAGCGAGTACCTCTGAAGGCCGGCAACGGCACACGAGGGGGTGGGTGGCCAGCACCACGCCCGGCCAACATTTGTTTCACCAGTCGCAATGTTTACACATCGCACCAGGTACTCATTTGAGTCTGAGTCGACCAAGGAGAGGCCCAGGTTCAGAAAATCGTCACAGGTGTTGGCCGTGAGCGGGAATCAAACTCGGGGCGCCGGTTTCACAGCACAGCGCACTAACCGCTACACTACCGCTCCACATATAAAGGCACACACACACAGCCTCATGAAGGGGGTGGGAGGGGCAGTGGTGAAGCTAGGCAGTACCGGCAATGGCTTTGAGGCCATCAGTGAAGAGGCACTGGAACTCGCTGGTGCCCAGCCTCATGGTGCGTCCCTCCACCCGGGAATGCAGGGTCCTGAAGGCAGGCAGCACGAGTCGGCTCCACAACATAAGCTGCATGCGGCGGCCGGGTCCAGTGAACTTACTCCACCCCAGGCTCACGAGTGTCGCTATGCAACCTTAAGGGGGAAAAAAACAAGAGCAATAATAGAGAATTATGTGGCACATTTGGTATTCGTGATATTAGGGTGCAAAGCTACCACCAGCGTGCTGTTTCACAGAGCAGTAGATTCTGCTAGTAAGCGGCGAAGCAGCTGTGTCATTTTCCGCAATTAGGGGTGCCACGGTGGTGAGATGTTAACTACCTCGCGTGGTATACAGGTCGTGGGTTTAATCCCAACCCTGACGTCTGTACATGTGGAAGTTGTATGTTCTCCCCATGGTCGCGTGGATGTTTCTCCAGGTCCTCTGGTTTTTTTCTTCCACATTTACGAAACGTGCACTCGGAGTGTTTGGCTGCCATACATTTCCACGTGATAAGCCACTTCATTGAGCCATCACTTGCGGCCAGGTCGCTTCTGAAAGATAACTATATAGCTCAGTGGACCTTGCTAGGTACAATAAAAAAATAAGTACAAAAAATAACAAAAATACGGAATTCACAGGACATATTTTTTTACGTAGTAAAACTTAGACCATGATGCCAGCATACGAGGGTCACTATTTTTCGAAGGCTGTCACAGGAACTTTAATGTTCACCATGAAGCAGATGCCGTGTATTTATGGGTTATATACAGGACAATTAGCCGAGGCGGCCGATGGGCATGAATTTTGCAAATCTTTACAAGCGGAAAACGTGCTATCTCTTGGTCATGTCACAGCCAAGCGTGTCGCGTTGTCAGTGTTATAAATAAATGTATAAACTATCCTGTGCTCGTATTTTATGCGTGACAGTGTGAATGTTAAACCTGAGAAGCAAATAAAAAGTGATAAGGCGCCCCGGCTAAGTACCAGAGTTGGAGTTATATGTTCAGTGTAAAAACTATTACTTGTTGCTTGTTCACGAGATGGTTTGAGTCTAGGGTAGACCTAAGCGTTACTGGCTGGTTAGTTGGTTCTATGTTTCGGTAGGGCCAGCATTGTGTTGGCTGTGCTCCACCGGGAAGACAAAGGTGGCCAGGCATGGTGCTGGCAACATTACCCCCTCGCTCACTTCTTGCCGGCCTAAAATAGGTGCTAAGAGCTCACTCGTCCAGTCTACAGAGCTTGCACGGAGTGTAATATGTAAATACTGCCCCTTCAGCTGTGTGGATGCTGGCCTAAATCCTCTGGAATAACAAGGGTGGAAAGATTCCCACCAACAGTCGAGGGGAATTTCCACCACTTAACACCACAACCTTGCTTCAAAGCCATTCACGAGGTCGAAAGTCAAATTACTCGAATTGGACAAAATGAATGTTTTTATTAAATCTAGTTCAAATACTAGATTTAAAGCTTTCGTGACTGCAGGGATCCATACTCTTTGGTTCTATTGGGTAAAGTCACGTAGGTAAAAAATAAAATAACAAAAATCACGACGTTTCGGCCACAACACAAGCGGCCTTCATCAGGTGAAGGAGACTGTCTGGAGGACAGCGCTGTCTTCCAGACAGTTTCGTCCCTACGTGACTTTACCCAATAGAACCAAAGAGTCTAGTTCAAATACACGGGTGAGTCGGCCAATCATCCCTTCCAGGGGCAAGTTGGCCTACAGAGACACCCACAACACATTGTGGGTGTCTCTGGAGACCTGTTATAAATGTAATACGCAACGTTCCAGGCAATATACCTTTCTTAATTTCCTCTGCAATAAGGCGATAAGAGCCACTGCTCTTCTTCATTACATTGGCCGAACGTCCGCTATTACATTGTGTCCCCTATAGAACAGGGTATTGCCTCTAACGTGTTGTGTGGAGTTTGTGTTATTAGTGCTGGTGCGCCACTGCCAACGCAGAATGACCATACCTGGCATGCCCTTATCAGTGCCCTACCTTATTACAGACCAATTCAGACCGTATTGGTCACCCCGTGGCCCTATACATCTCTAGGTTCATCCTACAAAGTCCCATCACAAGGGAGAAACACAAGGACAGATTTGTGTTGCTGCCCGTATTGAAACGGCTGTACGCCGTATGGACCTGAAAACTCAATTTCCCTGTACAGGAATACGGGGTAACTTGTGTGGGTTAACAGGACTGAATTAAAGATGATGTGATCACGGACTACAATACTGTACGTGGCTATTCAGCGAGAGAATCACTGATACAACTGTGCCCCCTAGCGGATTAATAACCACACGCAACACGCAATGAGCGAGTTTGCGCAGGACACTGCACAAATACAAAAATAAAACATTCCAGCGTTTCACCCTCCACGTTAGCAGCCGTATAATAAAATACACGATTGTCGGGGTGCTGTTGGTAACCTTAGTTTAACAACAACAACAGCAGCAGCAAGTCGGGAAGTCGGCTGAACGGTACACAATGTCAACATTCGGTCTGTTGTAACGATTTAAATCGGCAAAGAGTTTTACAGATTTGATTACCGGCTCAAATATACGCGCCGATCGACGAGAGAAGATCCCCCCGGGGTTTGTTTAAACAGGCCGGGAGCTGGGATCGAACCGTCGAACCTCGAGTTTACGAGCGCAATTCGGTCACCATCGCCACGACGACTACGTCAGCGACACGCTTTCAGGGATGCATTCCCAGACATTGCTACATACGCGCGGCAAAGCAGTAACCGGTTTTATCCAACGGTTTTCATTCGGTTACCGGACGCGTGAATCAAAAACTACTGCGACAAACTCTCGAAACTGCGGTGGTTATTTTGGGGAGGTGGTGGTGGTGGGGAGGTGGTGGTGGTGGGGAGGTGGTGGTGGTGGGGAGGTGGTGGTGGGGTGTCCTTTACGCCAAGGAGGTCGTCACTCGCCTTTAAAAAAAACTCCCCGACGGCTGGCGACGAGACGCCCTTCGAAGGCGTTCTAGCGTACGGGCCCACGGTTCTAAACGTTTCGCGTCAGAACCATTCCGTCGGCGAGCGCCAGCGCCGATGCAGTCGTCGTGGTGTTTCGCCGATGCAGTCGTCGTGGTGTTTCGTCGATGCAGTCGTCGTGGTGTTTCGCCGATGCAGTCGTCGTGGTGTTTCGCCGATGCAGTCGTCGTGGTGTTTCTCCGATGCAGTCGTCGTGGTGTTTCGCCGGCAGCAACGGCCGCCACGCTGAGCCTCGCGCGCGTCTTCCTCGCAGGGCCGGAGGCGGCCTTCAGCAAACTACGGCGAGCCGCGTGTTTCACGCGGCGGGGGGGTGGAAAAAAAATGAAACGCGATTTTAAATTTCGATTTAAAGCTTTCGTGACTGCAAGGATTCATCTTCTTCTTCTTTGGTTCTTTAGGTAAAGTCACCACGTAGAATGAGAATAAAATAATACATTGATAAAATGAAATAACACAAAAAAATTATCACGACGTTTCGGCCACGTTTCGGCCGCTTGTGTTGTAGTCGAAACGTCTGTGAGAATTTTAATGTGTTATTTTATTATGTTATTCTCATTCTACGTGACTTTACCGAAAGAACCAAAGAAGATGAATCCTTGCAGTCACGAAAGCTTTAAATCACCATCCCTTTTATTTGGTTCTTTCGGTTAAGTCACGTAGATGGAAAATAAAAAAAATATATAATTTACATGAAATTTAAATTAAAAAAATGTATGTTGAATTTTATTTTAATTAAATTATGATAAAAAACAAATGTATGTTTAATTTTATTTTCATGTAATTTTTATTTTCTATCTGCGTGACTTTACCGAAGGAACCAAAGAATATGAATTCCTGCAGTCACGAAAGTTTGAAGTCAAAATCCCCATCCCACTCCCCCCCCACTCACGTATAACCCAACCGGCGATGCATCTACCCAATGTCATTTATACGCATTCATTAATCTACCCCCAAACCCCGCCACCAGCACCACCACCACCACCAAAGCTTCAAATCAAGATTCACCACCACCACCACCAACTTCGCACGTGAAGGGCTCACGAGTGATGCCATCGGAATCTCCCCATCGATTTCAGGAACGCAAACTGGAGGTTGTTCTCCACAAATCTGTTCTGTCGCCTAATGAGGCTAGTTGTAATTACTGGCGAGGCGTGGTACCCGGTTTCAACACGTAGGCTTTCGCGACCAATATTATTCATAGTAAAGGTTTTTAAGGTGAGTTCGCTTAAGTATGAAACAGTTCGCCTTTAGTGCCTCCCCACCCCCCCCCCCTTTTTCCCACCTGATGACGGTCGCTTGTTTCGCGATCGAAACGTCGTAGTTTTTTTGGTTACTTTATTACTTGTTTGAACCTATCTATACGTGACTTTACCGAAAGACACAAAGAATAGAAATGTGTAGTTACCCTCCACCACCCGACACAGCCAATTAGTAAATCCACAACATTTACAATTTACTCTCCAACACGCCGGTGGGCTGAAGTAGTAAACTATTTGGCGTTTTGTTTGCCTGACAAATCCCTTACGAATTGGCTGTGTCGGGTGGTGGAGTGTTACGACACACATTTATTATAAGGGGTCGTCCATAAATGACGTCACCCACCTGGGGGGGGGGGTCAGACATTTGTGACGATGTGTGACGAGGGGGGGGGGTTTAGAAATGTGACGTCACATCAAAATACGCAACTCTAAATAAATATAGACAACGCGTTCTACTACATTAAATAGACTTTTTGATCAATATTTTCTCCGACAACATCAGATTGCAGCGGCACATTAAATACGCACTACAATGACAATAGTTTAAAGCGATCTGAAGCATGTTTTATATTTTTTTTTGGGGGGGGGGGGGTGGGGGCAAAGCTTTATGACGTCATATTTGAGAGGGGAGGGTCTGATTTTTTGTGACGTCGTGTGACGAGGGGGGGGGGTAAAAAATCGTCCAAAATTGCGTGATGTCATTTATGGACGGCCCCTAACCCAAAAACCTGTATTATGAACGTCGTACTCAGATTGTAAACGTTGATCAGGCTAAAAGTACCGTAATATACCCAAGACCACTTACGAAACATCGAATGTATTATTTTAACATTGATTTACGCTCACGCAATATTTTTTTTTAAATTTCTCGTGTGATAATTGTTTTTTTTTGCCCTGATTTTCGTCGTGATTGAAGATGCGTTATTTTATTTCGTGCCACTTTGGTAACCCAGGTCACTGCAAATGAGACTATGACACTCTCTCGAGCTCTTACCCGGTGAGACGAAATAAAGTTGGTGACGACGATGTCAGCTCGGATGGCTATACATGTCATACAATCTCGCGATAAACCATTAAATATATGGATGTATGTTAAACTTCATTCGCACCGTACGTATACAACCGTGCTAATCGGAGGTGCGGAGGATGGACAGCAAACTAAACAGTAAATAGGACCAGTAATTTTGTTTGAACAACTGTTTCCGCTTCATGGATGGTGACATTCAGTTTTACAATCTGGCCAAGGCTTTCGCTTTTTCATACTGTCATGGGCAGCGTTTACTTCCTCAAGTGTGACGTTGAACTCGCTCTGCATCATCTGAAATGTGCTTTCATTCCTAGCCTTTATTTTTTATATTTCCATTTGTAAATACTGTATAATTAACCCAGTAACTTTTAGCCTGAAAAAAACCCCGTTCTACTTCCATTGTACTCCAATTATCAAACTATTTACTGTTTCCGCGCTCCCATTGCTTGCCGTGACATCGTCTACTATTTAGGGTTGAATACTGTTTTCATAATCACGGTTTGTACAACACATTTGCAAAACAATTGCAGATATTTGTTAAAGCCCACAACCGAAAAATATTTCAGAGCATGCATATCCAAGGCAGTTCTTGATGGTGGACCAAGATGGAATTAATATAGTGGTGGACAAGAGCAGGTGCATATTATCTAGAGCATTTGGCTCCTATAAATGTCCACGTGATAAGCCACTTCGTTGATCTATGCTTTGTGGCCAGGTCGAGGTGATTCGTTTATATACTAGGACATATGGTGTGGAAACATGGATGTTGACAACGAAAATGGAACAATATCTCAAAAGTCTTCAAAGAGGTATGGAGAGTTTGCATACGTGAAATTACACTGAGATGCAGAGAAAGGATCATATGGAGAAGAAAACATACATAAGTTAGATTCATATAAAAGTGAGTGCTTTTTGGTAGGAGACATCACGAGAAGAACGATGAAATGATGGTGTTTTGAGATTAACAATGGAGTAATCAAATCAGTTAGTATGCAGGAACTAAGTGGATTGGTGCGTCGCGAGACCGTTAGATATCCCAGTTGTTTGTAAGAGGCCTTCATCCAGTAGTTGATAGACCATGGCTGGCGAAGATGATGCTGAAGAGTCAAGCTCTTTGCACTATAGCTGCACACCAAAAGAACTTGAGCCGTTGCTTATATATGACACGTCCGGGGTTATTAAGGAGCCTTTGACCTACTGAAGGTTTACCCATAATAATTATTTTAATCCACGCAGACCGCCAGACTCATGTGCAGATCAAGATAATCGCAGGGAATTAAATAAACTACCAGACGCCCAGCCAGAGGCATTGGTTATCTGAAATGTGGTGTGAACTTTTCAACCAAAACATGTTTCTGCACATTCGAGAAAGCAGACGTTGATATCGCCACGACACATTTTTTTGCGTGACATTTTTGGTAACTTTGATTCAAATACTTATTCAAATACTGATTTTGATCAATTTTTTTTTACCTGCGTCTAAATTGAGGTTATTAAATGAACAATAAGATGTTTCATATTCGTTATTTATCTGAGTCCAAAAAGGTGAAGGTACGCATTTAATTTTTGGATTATGTCACAGTGGCTGCATGCCCAGATTCTAAACAATAGGGCAGCATAATCTTAGCTCTTTCGGTAAAGTCACGTTGAAGGGAAACAATAAAATAATAAAATATATATAAAACAATACAAAAATTCTCACGACGTTTCGACCATAACACAAACGGTCGTCATCAGGTTTGTGTTATGGTCGAAACGTCGTGAGAATTTGTTTATTGTTTTATATATATTTTATTGTTTTATTGTTTCCCTTCAACGTGACTTTACCGAAAGAGCTAAGAATATGAATTACTGCAGTCACGAAAGCTTTAAATCAAAATAAGGCAGCAATCATCGTTGCTCATGGTCTTGAGGAAGTGTTGGAAATTCCACGTTCCTGTGGCAGGAACCACTAATCTTACCGAGGTCTAGATGTTTGTGTGCTGCAATGAGTGCTGTTCAACACGACGTTTCGCTCCACGTGCTGGGTGCTTCTCCAGGAAATTAATTCAGTTCCTTTTTTTTGTTGCAACAAAACAAGAGCCTTGTATAAGGCACAGACCGCAACGAGGGGGTCGGGGTTACCAGAACCCGGCAGACTGAGGTCCGGCCTCAATCATTCTGGGTCCATAGATGGGGCAGGAGATTTGGGTCACTACCCAGCACACACGTGGCGACTGCGCGCGGGAGCGTCGGTTATTATTAATTCAGTTCCTTCTTAATTTCTCGCAGCACATGGAGCGAAAAGTCGTCGTGCCAAAACAACGCCGCCCCTTAGACCTGAACGCAGACTCGGTTGCTCAACGCGCTCGCAAGCACTTGAAGCAAAACCACAGCATCACGTCACACAACACGCATATTAGGAAGCCACTGGAGCTATGGCACTTTTAAATCGAGATTGAAAATAATTTCTTTAGAGGCGCTTTTTGTGCTTAGTTTGGTTGTCCTTTGGGGCCGTCCATAAATGACGTCACGCGATTTTGGACGATTTTTGCCCCCCCCCCCCCTTGTCACACGGCGTCACAAAAAGTCAGACCCCCCCTCAAATATGACGTCACAAAGCTCTGCCCGCCACCCCCCAAAAATAAAACATGCTTCAAATCGCTTTAAACTTTTGTCATTATAGTGCGTATTTCATGTGGCGCTGCACTCTGATGTTGTAGGAGAAAACATTTATTAAAAATTATATTTAATTAAGTAGAACGTGTTGTCTCTATTTAAAGTTGCGCATTTTGATGTGACGTCACATTTCTCAACCCCCCCCCCTCGTCACACATTGTCACAAATGTCTGAACCCCCCCCCCCCCCCAGGTGCGTGACGTCATTTATGGACGGCCCCTATGTACGGTGTGAATGAAGTTCAACACACATGCATACATACAACGCGAAGACACATTGGACGGCTAGACAGTATAACCGCGAAAAACATGAAGCACAGTCATCGAAACTATTAACGTAATGTTTGACATACGGAA